TTTCTACTACTTTCCATTTGTATAAAAAAAAAACAAATGGCATCTTCTATTGAAGTCGGAGGCTCGTGGTCAACGAATGAAGATATTGCGTTGTGTCAATCTTGGGTGAACATTAGTCATGACCCTATCACGGGTAATGAGATGAAGTTTCATCACATGTGGAGCAAAATTCATGGAGAATTTTGTCAAAGATCGGGTTCTATTCGGACCGAAATGGCGTTGTCTAGTAGATGGAAACTTCTTAATAAAGAGTTAGGGAAATGGAGAAATGCCTTGACAAAAGCAAATGCGAACATTCAAAGCGGTCAAAATTTAACCGATGAGGTAAAATATTTATAATTGCCATTTTAATCAATTCAATGTCACTTTTTTTTTTTCCATATTCTATTTGTTTTTCTTGCATAATTTCTTTTTTCTTGGTGCACCTTTAATTTGTCTATATTTTCTTGCATAATCAATTTTATTTTTGCATTTCAAAATAGTTTATATTTTCTTGCATAATAATTTTTGTTTCTTGCACTTCCAATTATTTATTTTTAATAGATGGTACAAGCACAAATGTGGTTCGGTGCCATGGGGCAAGGCAAAAAAAGTTTCGTGCATTTCCAATGTTGGGAAATTGTGAAGGATTGTTCGAGATTCAAAATTATTCCCACCGGTCCGCCGGTTGTGATGAATGAGACGCCACTCCACGATTCAACATCAACCGATTCTCCATTGGACTCCCCAATGGAAACGGAGTCACCATTTGTGCCACGTCCGCCAAGACCTATTGGGAGAAAGGCGGCAAAGGCCAAGAGAGGGGCCACTTCGACCAATGATTGTGTACAATTATTGGAGCATATAGCTAAGAGCGCCTCACTAAGAATGGAGAGAGACTTGAAAAGAGATGAAATGGACAAGGCACGAGAGGAAGCATTTGTTCTCCAACAACAAATGGCACAAGAAAAAGACATAGAGGATAGAGAGATTAAAATCATGGCTATGGATACGAGCCATATGTCTCCCGAAACAAAGGCTTATTGGAAGCAACGACGAAGAGATGTCATGAGGAAAAAACTTTTCAATGACGACGGACCTAGCAATACGGATTGGTTAAATGATGAAAACCATTAGGAAGCAATTTCAACACCTTTGACATATGTTGTATTGTTGTATTATCCTTTAAGTTGTTGTATTGTTGTATTTTCCTTTCATTTGTTGTATTGTTCCCTTATCCTTTAATTTGTTGTATTGTTCCCTTTTTATTCAATCAAAAAAGCATTAAATTAAATGACTATTTATTAAAAACATTTGAGCATCAAAACAAATATTAATT